AATACTTAAATAGAGATTCCAAAGCTTAAGTAGGTTTTAAATGTAGAGTATATTTTAGAATAGCTAAAAAGAAATTAAATAGATAGAAATTAAAATGATAGTTATTATTAAAGACAATTTCTAATCTAGAAATAAAATATGAATTTATCTTCTTTTTCTGTTCAAAAATAATTAATAGAAAATATGTAGAAAAATTATGTAGATTATTCATTTGATGATACAACCAGTATAAGATCTTTGTTATGTTTGAGTGGAAGAGGATATAATCAAAGATTAGAAAATACCATAATTACAGCTACTAAAGATAGAAGTGTTTAAAGCTGAACTTTGAATAGTGATGCTAATAAATATGAGTTAGTAAAATAATTTCAATAATAAAGGAATTCCAAACTAATGTGATTTGTTCGCCATATAACTTAAATAGGAAATTCAAATAATATATGAAGGGGGATGTTTTCATAATTGAGGATTATGAAATTAGAAATCCTTTAAATACTTTTAATCAAATAGAACATTAAGATAGAATAACTGACATGATTTATTTAGATGGAGAGGATGGTTATCTTATTACTGGTAGCAAGGATCATACAATCAAAATATGGAAATGAATTTAATTTTAATAATATTGAAATACATAAATTAAAGTATGTCAGATCTATGTCAAAATTGTAAGCATCGTTCCCTCAAATAAAAAATGACAGGCAAGAAATTCTCTATGCATATCTTAAACTAAATTTAATAATTACGATCTCCGCGTAATATTGAAACACCATTCATAAATATTATAGATTACTTATAAAAAATACATAGAAAGAAAGACGATGATTAGGAATAAGAATAAGAATCAGAAAAATAATAATAATATAGTCACATTCCAACTCACATATCAAAATAGAAGACAGATAATTAAGTAGAAGAAGCAACAACAACAACATCTCGATAAATTCAATTTCCAGTTTCATTATGTATTTCTAGAGGTGCTTCTGCCAATAAAATAAAAAGCAGTGCATTTTATAAAATGAGATAAATGAGTTTAGGTTCAAGAGATAAAAAAAAGAGACGTAATATTGAAATAGGCCCTATGTTTAATCAAGTATCTAAGTATGTTCATCCTATGAGACCATAAACTGTAAGAAGTTTTAACTCCAAAATTGATGATGTTTTTAAATCAACTTAAACTACTTCTAGACAAGAACTTATTAGACAAACTAAATCAGAAATCAATCTTAGATTACCAGTATCTAATAAATTAAGTGAAGTACAATCATTAATGAGAAAAGAGTGAAATTATAATTGATATGTGTACTATATATAACCAAATTTCTCACTTTTCTATGTGTTTTGAAGACTCACTTCATAATGATGGGAAATCTTTATCATCAAATTGAACTCCATTATTTGGTTATTACTAATTTATTTAATAAATCAATTACTTATTTCTTTTATCCTTTATTATTATCTTTTCTGTCATTTTTATCATTTCTATCATTTCTATCTTATCTGTCATTTCTGTCATTTCTGTCATTTCTGTCATTTCTATCATTTCTGTCATTTCTTCTTGTATCATTTGTAAATCCAAAGTATTATTATGCTTCTGTACTCATTTCACTTCTGTATCCCTATTATTAGCCACTTGATTTTTTAGTTGTTTTTTATTCTCTTTTTTCATCTTCTCTTGTTCTTACAACTTATAATTTTTCTTTTTTCAATGCTTCTTCATCAATCTTCACTACTGGCTATACTTTCTATTCTTAATTTTTTAAGACTTCATCAACATTCTATATAAAATATTAGAAATAATAATATACCACTCCTCGTGCTTAATAATAATCAGCTAAAGTTTTTTCAGCTGGTGGTTAAGGTACATTTTCTTATGGCTATTAATCTTCAGTCTATTATTCTGTCGTTAATTCTTATTATGCTTCTTTAGTTTCTGTTGCACCTTCATACTTATCCTATTTTAAATCATCTTTATAATTTCCCCAATTTCTTCTTCCTCCACCTTCTTTACGAAGTTCTTTTCCAATTCCTGTTCCAGAATGTCTATCTTTAGGATGAGGTTCTGCTGTAAGTCCCTTTTATTTTGGGGCTGGATTATGGTGTTATGTGCTTTCTTTCTTTACTTAATCAACTGGAATCACTTATTCTTATTCACGCTTTTACTTATCTAATACATAATTTATTTATATGCTTACTTTTTTTAGCTTATTGTTATTATGCTTTCTATTATGCTTATTGAGTTTTTGAATCCTCATCATCAAAAATGTTGAGGACATTAAACATATTGTTGCTCATTTTAAAGATTTGAAAAACTTAATAAAAATATGAATTATTAATTCAAATACGAATTATTGTTAAGTAATTATGAACATAATCATGTAGATTTCTCTATATCTTCTTAATTTCTCTAAAATTTAAAATATTGAACATAACACTTTTATTGATTTAAAAATGTTCCATCTATTTGTTTTTTATTAGTTTTAATTGTGGGTTCTAGAAACATAATAAATGTTTTACTGTATTTAATATCTTTTCAAAAAGTTAAGGAATCTCAATGATTTCAAATTCCAGCAATAATGTTTAATAGTTTGAAGAATCTTAATTAGTTTTGAACTAAAAACTTTTGCATCTTTTTGATTTTTTAATTATAATCAATTTCTCTAAGTTAATATAAAGAGAATGGGATGCTGTTAGGATCGTATTAATGTGACTTTGAATGCAAATGAAATAAAGCCCTAAATAAAGGCACCCATTATCTTCCATCCTTATAAAGGTTAGAAAATAGAACCAATGAAAATTTCAATCATTGGTGATTTGGATAAAATGGAGATTTTTGATGACCCCTAATTAGCCATGCCCTCCATAACATAAATTGATTAAAAATTGACATCTAAATTATTCTTCTCTCGTGAATTCAAGGAAACAAAANCTTCTTCATCAATCTTCACTACTGGCTATACTTTCTATTCTTAATTTTTTAAGACTTCATCAACATTCTATATAAAATATTAGAAATAATAATATACCACTCCTCGTGCTTAATAATAATCAGCTAAAGTTTTTTCAGCTGGTGGTTAAGGTACATTTTCTTATGGCTATTAATCTTCAGTCTATTATTCTGTCGTTAATTCTTATTATGCTTCTTTAGTTTCTGTTGCACCTTCATACTTATCCTATTTTAAATCATCTTTATAATTTCCCCAATTTCTTCTTCCTCCACCTTCTTTACGAAGTTCTTTTCCAATTCCTGTTCCAGAATGTCTATCTTTAGGATGAGGTTCTGCTGTAAGTCCCTTTTATTTTGGGGCTGGATTATGGTGTTATGTGCTTTCTTTCTTTACTTAATCAACTGGAATCACTTATTCTTATTCACGCTTTTACTTATCTAATACATAATTTATTTATATGCTTACTTTTTTTAGCTTATTGTTATTATGCTTTCTATTATGCTTATTGAGTTTTTGAATCCTCATCATCAAAAATGTTGAGGACATTAAACATATTGTTGCTCATTTTAAAGATTTGAAAAACTTAATAAAAATATGAATTATTAATTCAAATACGAATTATTGTTAAGTAATTATGAACATAATCATGTAGATTTCTCTATATCTTCTTAATTTCTCTAAAATTTAAAATATTGAACATAACACTTTTATTGATTTAAAAATGTTCCATCTATTTGTTTTTTATTAGTTTTAATTGTGGGTTCTAGAAATATAATAAATGTTTTACTGTATTTAATATCTTTTCAAAAAATTAAGGAATCTCAATGATTTCAAATTCCAGCAAAAATATTTAATAGTTTGTAGAATCTTAATTAGTTTTGAACTAAAAACTTTTGCATCTTTTTGATTTTTTAATTATAATCAATTTCTCTAAGTTAATATAAAGAGAATGGGATGCTGTTAGGATCGTATTAATGTGACTTTGAATGCAAATGAAATAAAGCCCTAAATAAAGGCACCCATTATCTTCCATCCTTATAAAGGTTAGAAAATAGAACCAATGAAAATTTCAATCATTGGTGATTTGGATAAAATGGAGATTTTTGATGACCCCTAATTAGCCATGCCTTCCATAACATAAATTGATTAAAAATTGACATCTAAATTATTGTTCTCTCGTGAATTCAAGGAAACAAAAGAATTGGTAACAATTTTTTATCTATCGTTTTTAGAAATCAACTCAAATTTCTGAAACGGTTATAATTGATATGAGATCAGGTTCTTACCTTTAAAGTCCTCTCAAACCACTTACAGAAAGAAGATCGAGCAAAAATTTAAATTAAAAGTTTATAGGGATGCTTTGATTTGATAACATTTGAATAGAAATGAATAAATTTATATTAAATAAAGAATATATTGATAAAGAATTGAAAATCTTATCAACTTAAATAACTAATTTATATTATAACATTTAGAAAAAATCACAAAACCAAAAAACATCAAAATATTGGGATTGTTCAATAAATAAAAATTTATTATAATGTATCTAATTAAAATTTGATTTAATTTATATATTTTGTAATTTGAGTCTAGTTATTTTATTATTACTAAGAACAATAATTTTAAAACAGAATAGTCCCAACAATGTATATTTACATTGATTAAAAAAATAAATACAAAACTTTCTACGACATTATTTGTTATAACCGAGGATTAGATTTAGTTCTATTGATAGTTTGTATATTATTTTTTTTGTATTCTTTGAAAAATGAAAATTTTAACTCTTAATTAAAATGTTCTTTTTTTTTCAATTCTTTTATAATATTGAATTATCTAAAAATACTATTTTCGAAAATATTAGATTAGAAATCTACAATAAAATTTTCTAACGAAACATTATTTAATTACATCTTTTTACTTTCAGATTTATTTTTCCATAGATAAATGAAAGTGTAGTCAAAATAATGAAATATATTTTAAAAATATAATCTTTATTTTAGATATCCACCTAACTGTTGACTAAAAAGCAAAAATAAATTAAAAATTCTAGTTAAATTTTCGTTATTAATTGATCAAAAAAGAATGGAAATATATATTGGCTAAGAATTGTTGGTAAATTGAGATTAATTCAAAGTCTCTAATCTAATGAAACAAAATATTTTGATAAAAATCAATATATTGAGTCTTTTATTGATATTTTACAATATTTAACCCAAAAGAGAAATGATATAGAAATTATTATCCTATTCTGAAAATAATTATGACTATTCTGGAAACATGTTTTATTAGAAAAAATTAAAAGAATTTTACTTTATATCATTTTAATTTTATTGTTCATTCTTCACTTGGTTATCTACTACTATGAACTGTATATCTTTTAGGAAAATAAAAAGGGGCGCTTTACTTTAAGAGTGAATCAATATCATATTTATTATTAATGAGTTTCATATACTATGCTTCCCCTTCATTTTTTATTATCAATTATTTTCTACTTTTTAATTCTTCTATTAACTAAAAATTAGAAACATATTACTAAATCTTCTTTTTTAACTTTGCTTTTTTCATTAAGCTATTCTAGTGAACTTGCTAATTTAGCTTATAAAAGCATTAGCTTTCTCAAATATTATTCTTACTATTATTAATTAGAAGACTATTTCTTATTATTATTAGGATCTATGAAAATTTAATAGTAAAATTTATTACCTTCAGTTTTTTTCTCTGACTATTGTGGAATATGAAGAGACAAATAAGCATTCTAATATGAATGCAATTATTCATTTAATTTTGCCTCTTATTCTTTGATTTCTGTGTACTTCTGCCTTCTTTCTGATAATTTAATTTCATATTCACTCTTTCTATCTTTTTGTGCCATGAAATCAATAAATTCATTTGTTGAATTATAGTTTGTTTTTTTAATATCAAAAACCCCTCCTTTGACCTTTTCATATGATGCTTCAAATTATTATAGTCTTTCACTAAGTTATTTATCTTCTTTTTCTTAAGCTTCTTTATTTTTTTTATTTTTTGAATCATCTTCTTTTTTTGCTAATTTGTTTCTTAATTTTTTAATTGAAGCATTAGCTTTTTATACAATTACTCTGTCCCCATCTTAGAATAATTTATCAAGTAATTTTTTCTAATATAAGCTCTCTTTGATTTAAAGAATTAAATTTTTTTAATGGTTTCTTTTTTCTCTATAGACTCTTAAAAACTCTTCAAATTGTCTTTTGGCAAATTTGATATTAAGTTAACTTTTTTTAATTTCTTATTCTTCAAATTTTATTAATTTAATGAAGTTTTTGGTTAAGTAATTTAAATTTCTTATATATTCTTCATTTTATTATTTATTATCCCTACAAATCTTAAGTATTTTTTTAACTCTAATCTTCATTTTATAACTTCGTTTTAAGTCTTTTTCAGCAACATCAGTTTATTTTTTAAAAACTTCAAGTGCCTGTTTTAACCCATCTAAACTATTCATTTCTCTTACTAAATATCCTTTATTAAAATCCATAATTTTTAAGAGTTTATATGTTTTAGCCATTTTTAGATTTTCATAACTAATTTAATCTAATTTTCCTTTCATCATCCTTAATTGCCCATTTAGAACATTTATTTATGAATTAGAATGATTTTAGATTGATCCTTTAATAACAGGGAAGATTTCTGTATATTTATAAGCATGATGTTGTACAGAAGAAGTAGAAAACTATTTAAGTCTTTCTTTTTTTGGTTTAATTTCTTCAAGCAATTACATAGTTTTCTTACCATCATTAGGAATACTACTTTAAGTAAGTTTGATAGATTTTGATTCTTCATTTAAATGATTGGAATCAGTAAAATCAGAAGTAATGAACATTAAATGTGGATATATAGGGTCAGGTGAAATAGTTTTATTTGATTATGCATTTCTAGTGGATAAAGGAGGCAAAACAGATATTGTAGATCTATCAAATCTTGCACTAGATATAGAACTAAATTCTAATTATTCTCTTTTTTATTTTCTCATTACTTCATCTATACTCTTCTATTATAAAACAGAAACCTAAGGAATAATTTATAATCTGATCTCTTCATGGTGTTTTTATTCATACATTTCTTTTTACTTTCTTTTAGCTTCTAATGCTATTTTAAGGGCAGATTCAGTAAAAGCATTTTCATCTTCTACACTCATATAATCTGTGGCAGAAGAAAAACATTATTTAATGACAGTAGAATAATCACATTTTTTACTTATACTCATACAAGCCCAAGGAAACTAAATCCAAATCCATCTTTTATAATAATAATCAGTTGATTCTCTATCATTAGATGATAAAAGATCTTCTGATAAGTTTTCTTCTTTAAGTTGAAGTAATTTTCTTAGTTTTTAATCAATCTCTTCAGCCAATTAATCTACAGATTATGGCAATTCTTCTTCATTATCTGTTGGTTCAACTGGACGACTTAATTACTTTAAATAGTAAGATCTAATTTCTGCTCTATTTTAGGCTATTTCAACATTTAATGATTCCTATTTCGATAATACTGGAGCTGTCTGTGGTTTTGCAACTCTTTTTAAATGTTTAGCTGGATCAAACTATTTTAATTCTGGTGCCTTATCAAAATACAGATCTAATTTTAATATCTCATATAACAATCCAATATCATAAAGATCACTTAGAACTCCAATAATAGGAGGATGTCTAAAAACAGGTGTATTTTTTGTTTCAAAATCTCCAAATTCTTTCAGAAATCTAGAAATTTGAATTATTATTCTAAACATATCTTCTGCATTTGGATGATAATGAATTTGAAAACCTTCAACAGCTTTATTATATTCTAAAACTGGATCAAAACCATTTTCTTCCAAAGATTACCAATATCGACATAAATCATATTTATTAGAGGGATTAAATAAGAGTAAAAAATTCTCTATAATACTAATAACTTCTTTTAATGCAAAGTAATTTTTTGCACTAAATAATTGAAATGTTTATTCTTCCAATTTTCGAATAGAATTTGGTGTTATTTTATCAATACTAGTTGCTATTTTATCATGAAGCTCTAAAATGCTTTCTACTTCTTTATAATATTGGTTAATAATAACTTTTTTGAATATTTCATTATGTATTAACCATAAATCTTTATGTTTCATAATATTGACCTTAAAAAATACAAGAAATCTTTTCCATTCTTATTATGATATTTCACAAACAGATTCTATCTCTGGATATGTTAATCCTTTTTAAGTTAGAGCTAGGACAAGTAGAACATTTCTAAATTTTTCTTTATCAAGCAATCCAGAATTAGAGAAATATTCTAATTGGAATTGAAATAGATCCTCGACAACTTTCATTGACTTAAAGTGATCAGGATTTAAGGAATTAAGAATATTTTCAATCAATTAAGTATCTATTTCATTTTCTTCAACAACTCCTTCTGTTGGATAAGGCACAAATACTGAGAAATAGGATCTTACAAATAAAGGTTGATTTCGAACTTTATAATTGAGTTGAATGAAGATATCTAAAATGTGATCAAATTTCTATAGATTTATTTTAAAAAGCAAATTACTTAGACAAAAAGTTTTTTTCCTAAATGATTATTGACCATTTATTTCATAAATGCTTTATCAGATACAATAGGTATAACTTAGCAATCTGGTTTAAGTAATCTCATAGAAGCTGATTGTCTTTCAGCAGTTACAATAACTTTAATATTAGTGGGAAAGTATTTAGGTAACCAAAAGTTCACATTGGCTTCTCTATGCATATCCAATATTTCTCTAAAATTATCAATACCTTCAAATACCAAAATTACCTTGATATTAATAGTTTATGCAATACCTTATCATATATTATTTCTGCTCCATTAATAATTTATTGTTCTAATTGTCTACTACATATTTCTAGCCAATATTAAAAATATCGTCTAAGCTTCTCTTCTAAGAGCTCTACTTTTTATTTAATATTCAAAGCTTCCCTTAATTTAATTAGGATTCTATATATTGCATAATAATAATTGCTATTTTTTCCTGATTAAGTGGCAAAATGTGGAATGATGAAATCAGGATATCGCTATTATTTACAAGTTTCTTACTCCTTTTTTATTTCTGGCATGATATTCCATCCATTTTACCAAGAGCGTTTTCTTTCCAATTCCATCATCTGCTTCAAGTACTAATGGAGTATTCGTATGCAAAGTTTTTTCTTCTTCTAACCACTACTCGATTTC